GTTTGAATTGATTTTTCTCCCCGTGAAAGAACGAGCCTCGCCATTAAAAATAAAACCACTCAGACGTCCCGTTTGTGTAATTAATCTTGGATTAATTAACGGAAGTAAGCTAACTGGGAGCGGTTTTAAAATTTTCGATTTTGATGAGCAGTGTAAAGGGCTAAGTTTAATGGTGGGACCAATTTTAATGAGAAGTATTTTAAAGTGTTTTAGTGAGAAAATTGATTGGTATTCTAATGACTAGCTGGACCTGGTTTCTTCTTATGGGGGGGGGGGGGAGTTAGAGGAATAATTAATCAAATGGGATTTTGACATTTAAAAGCCAAGATGAAATTTTCTTGAAACGATGTTGATTAATGGTCTTTTAGTATCTCAAACAGTTAAAGGCAAATTATTGAAGCGAAGTGCGGAGCCATTGGTATATGTGGGCAGTGTGGGAATGTGGGTAGTTCTGTGGTGTGGGTAGTGTATCAAGTGTGGGTAGAGTGACAGTGTGGGTAGTGTGACACTGTGGGTAGTGTGACAGTGTGGGTAGAGTGACAGTGTGGGTAGAGTGACAGTGTGGGTAGAGTGATAGTGTGAGTAGTGTGGCAGTGTGGGTAGAGTGACAGTGTGGGTAGAGTGACAGTGTGGGTAGTGTGACACTGTGGGTAGTGTGACAGTGTGGGTAGTGTGGCAGTGTGGGTAGAGTGACAGTGTGGGTAGAGTGACAGTGTGGGTAGTGTGACAGTGTGAGTAGTGTGGGTAGTGTGACAGTGTGAGTAGTGTGACAATGTGGGTAGTGTAGCAGTGTGGGTAGAGTGACAGTATGAGTAGAGTGATAGTGTGAGAGTGATAGTGCATGTAGTGTGGGTAGTGTGGCAGTATGGGTAGTGTGTCAGTGTAAGTAGTGTGGGAAGTATGGTTAGTGTGGCAGTGTAGGTTGTGTGGAGAGTGTGGGTAATGTGGTAGTGTGGGGAATGTGGGTAGTGTGAGTAGAGTGGGAATGTGGGTAGTGTGATGTGTGGGTAGTACAGTGTTGGAAGTACAGTATGGGCTGTATACCACATTTTCGATGTAGCGATACAATAGGTAGTAACGAATGTTTCATAATGTGGCCATATATCATCAAAAAATTTTAGTTTCTTCTTTTTTCAAGTTTCCTTTTTAGATGAATAATCAAAAACGTGTTGCCTCACTAATGAGCACTATCTAATTATATCATGCTAAATAATTAGTTTAGCGCCATATGGTTAGCCAGTCCTCGAGTTTAATTATGTTAAACGAGTTACGGTACTTTTGTAAATCCAACGACACTTAATTAATTAAAATCTATAAACATTTTAAATTGTATTTTTGTCGGGAGACAGTTAAGGGTACGTAACCAGGTAAATGTGAGTTTTACTAAGAATGTACTATTTACTTCCCTTGGAACTGTGTGCAATAACTAGATAACTAATTTGAATTATCCACTGCAAGTTATAGGCCTGCTTATACAACTGAAATCCATAAAATGAAAATTGTAGCCAAAATTAAAATAAATTGTTTTATTGACAAATATTGAAAGAACAAAATATTGCTGGGTGTTATCTTAAATGGTTTTGATCGATTTTATCAGCACTATATAAAACAAGTTAATTAAAAAAGTCTAGTGACATTTATGCGCAATTTCCTTATGTTATCTAAAAATAGCTCTGACGTATAATGCTGTGGTGCATTCAAGCTAGAAGAACGATCGGTTTGTTGGTGTTTATGTAATTTTAAAATGTGTGACCGAACGAGAGGATATTTTTGAAAACTTTATTCGGCAATATTGTTCTAAATTATGGCAGGAATCGATTGGTACATGTTTCAAGTCGCTAAGTGGTCTGGTTGCCGAGATATGGGCCAAAAACTGCATTTTTTCGAGGTTTTTTGGCTTTTCCGGGAAATACATGAAAGAAACCCGGAATTTTTATGGCCTATGCTCATTCTCGTAACTTGCTTAACATAATTGCTTTTGGAACTAGTCATCGATATTGCTTCGTTGAGGAGGAGATACGACTTAAAGCCCGGACACACATTCATCCATACATTCATTCATTCATCCATCCATTCCCAGAAATGACGAGTTAATAAACGCAATTCTCCAGAATGGAAATTGCGCTAAAAATTGTTATCAAAGGGAATTAACCTATATAATACTACTGCATTCGGTAAAATTATAATAGTTTCCCCTTATCAAAAATACTAGTAACTACCTTCAATATAACAATTTAATTTTACAAAAGCAAGTGAATAGTAAAGACATAGAAGTAACGCAGCATCGAAAATTTGGAATAAAGAAATAATATTACATAGTTTTAATACACAATGAGATTGGGAATAAAATGTTGGAATGACTAAAAGCTCATTAACTTACTTTAGTTTACTTTTGAATATAATTTCAGAAATAATTTCAGATAGTTTTATTTTATTATGTAGATAATTTCACAAATTAGCACCAGTAAAAAGTTATTTGTAAAACGTTTTGTAATAAAGTTTTAAAATAAATAAATAATTAATGATTTACTTAATGAGTCACTTAACTTCATCGTACGAGGATGAAAAAGACAACGGAGAGGAGGAAAGGGATGAATTCAGTACTGGCTAAATGAGCCATCTTATCATGAATGTGTACTTCAGCCAGTTACTCTCGTACGCCTGAGTTCAATGTCTTGTTTCTACAACTCAGAGTGATCGCCCCTGTATGTTTAACTAACTTTATTGCACTTCACTCTACAGCTTCTAATGTAACCCCCCCCCCCCCCCCCGCCACTCCACATGACCACCATCACGTGCATGCTAATCCCACCACACCTGACTTACGCTGGTCTACATGTGTTACAGTCACGAAGAGAAATTTGTTCACCTGAATATTCATATCCACTAGTCCCATGGTTAATTAATCCATTGATTACTCACTGATTGCTAATCCTTAATCCTTGAATGTTGTTAGGTTATTCCTTGCACCCTGAGTGCTGGTTAGGTTAATCTTAACTCCGTAAACGCTGGCTAAGGTGCTAACCAACTGATTGCTGACACGGCTAATCTTTTATAACAAACAATATTCCGTTATTTTGTATATAAAATAATATTGTAAAGCTCAACTCACGGCTTGCGATACAGATAAAACTATTTGATGATTAGAGCCTAAAACTAAAATTTTGTTTGTTTTTTATTTATATAATTTTCTGGCATATACTATCTAATATATTTGAAATAAAATCCATACATCCTACACATCTCATAATATTCACATTTCATTCTATACACATTTCACACGGTTAAACATTTCATAACATACACATTTACGGGTAAGCTGAAAGCTGTTTTGTCTATTAGCTAACTCGACATTTTTGTTTAGCCTGATTAGCTCATAACGATAACTAAACCGAAGACAAAACCCTAACCCTTCCAGTAACCTACGCCCGTGTATATGTGCGGATACCAAATATAGTTTTAGCGAAAACCTTACAGCTTATGTACCCAACTGTTAACAATGTGTTAAAGCGGGTACTAGGGTCTGTGTTCTGTTAGCATTGTGTTAAAGCGGGTACTAGGGTCTGTGTTCTGTTAACAATGTGTTAAAACGGGTACTAGAGTCTGTGTTCTGTTAACATTGTGTTAAAGCGGGTACTAGGGTCTGTGTTCTGTTAACAATGTGTTAAAACGGGTACTAGAGTCTGTGTTCTGTTAACATTGTGTTAAAGCGGGTACTAGGGTCTGTGTTCTGTTAACATTGTGGTAAAGCGGGTACTAGGGTCTGTGTTCTGTTAACAATGTGTTAAAACGGGTACTAGAGTCTGTGTTCTGTTAACATTGTGTTAAAGCGGGTACTAGGGTCTGTGTTCTGTTAACATTGTGGTAAAGCGGGTACTAGGGTCTGTGTTCTGTTAACAATGTGTTAAAACGGGTACTAGAGTCTGTGTTCTGTTAACATTGTGTTAAAGCGGGTACTAGGGTCTGTGTTCTGTTAACATTGTGGTAAAGCGGGGTACTAGGGTCTGTGTTCTGTTAACAATGTGTTAAACTGGGTCCTAGGGACTGTGTTCTGTTAACAATGTGTTAAACTGGGTCCTAGGGACTGTGTTCTGTTAACAATGTGTTAAACTGGGTCCTAGGGACTGTGTTCTGTTAACAATGTGTTAAACTGGGTACTAGGGACTGTGTCATGTTCATGTGTTAAAGTGGGTACTAGGGACTGTGTTCTGTTAACAATGTGTTAAACTGGGTACTAGGGACTGTGTCATGTTCATGTGTTAAAGTGGGTACTAGGGACTGTGTTCTGTTAACAATGTGTTAAACTGGGTACTAGGGACTGTGTCATGTTCATGTGTTAAAGTGGGTACTAGGGACTGTGTTCTGTTAACAATGTGTTAAACTGGGTACTAGGGACTGTGTCATGTTCATGTGTTAAAGTGGGTACTAGGGACTGTGTTCTGTTAACAATGTGTTAAAGTGGGTACTAGGGACTGTGTTCTGTTAACAATGTGTTAAAGTGGGTACTAGGGACTGTGTTCTACACACTATGTGTTAAATCGGTTGTCAATTTAACCCTTAGAGCAGATGAAGCTGTCTACTAATGTGTAGAACTTTGTTAAAGCCAGCACGAAGACGTGTTCTACCAGTTACACGGAGTGTGAGCTTGAGCACACGACCAAAACACGACCCCCACGAGAATCAACAAGTGTGACACGTCTGTGTGCCGTACTTGTGTCCGTACCGGAAGTTCTAGTAACGGACTGGAAGCAAGGTGTTAACAGTTGAAGGGCGATTACGTAACGGAATTTTCTAGAACTTTGTGATCTGCCTGAAAATATTTTACTTGGTTGTACCCAACATATGTACCCTAATTTGTATCCTCTTGTAGCAACTGTGTTTTAAACAGTGGAATAGTGGAACGCTGATCGACAGTGTTAAGCTTTACTCTTTGCGTATATTTTACCTCAGAACGGTATAGTTTTCTTCAACTTGATGCGTGAAATTTTATAAACATGTGCCACAAAGTAAACCCATAGCTCATCGCATCGCCGACTAGCGCTTTGGTGACTATATTTTTAAATTAATTCTATTATTTGTTCTAAATACTTTTAAAAATCGTGTCCGATTATTGTGATTTTCAGATTTTTTAAAATTAAACTGATTAACTACTTGTATTGTAATTTATCCTTTTAAAGCGTGTGTTTGGTTTCGTGTATTTTACTCTAAATTACCATGATTTTTAAGAAATTTCAGAACTCTATTTTTAGAATAATAAAACATAAATTAAAATAGATCTGATAAACTTACTGCCGGTGTTCTAGATAAAGATTTTATTTTATTCACATACTGGGAGTCATATAGGCCTACTAATGCCTGTCGTATTTTATCTGATTTTTAAACTAAAGTGACAACAACTCTTCCAGTTAGGTGTATCAAAAATGGTGTCTATTGTGGATTGGTACTGTCTACATGAGTGACGTGCTAAAAATGGATGCGGTCCAGAAATTTTTGTGTCGAAATGAATCGTTGTGGGTAAGTGGTGTCATTGTTGTTGTCAGTGGTGTCATTGTTGTTGTCAGTAGTGTCATTGTTATCAGTTGTGTCATTGTTGTTGTCAGTGGTGTCATTGTTGTTGTCAGTGGTGTCATTGTTGTTATCAGTTGTGTCATTGTTGTTGTCAGTGGTTTCGTTGTATTTAGTGGTGTCAGTGTTGTGTCAGTGTTGATGTGAGTGGTGTCAGTGTATTCAGTGGTGTTGTCAGTGGTGTTGTTGGTGGTGTCATTGTTGTTGTCATTGTTGCTGTCAGTTGCGTCAGTGTTATCAGTGGTGCCAGCGGTGTTGCAAGTGGAATGTAACATTTATTGACGACCCTTATGTGATGTCCATCACTCGATGTGATAGTTGCCGCTATACCTTGACCTCTGACCCGCTATACCTTGACCTCTGACCCGCTATACCTTGACCTCTGACCCGCTATACCTTTATTCTAGTGTGCAAACACCAATCAAGTCATTTATGCTAATGCGAAATCTACATCGAACTATTCATGGAGATCATATGGCTGAAGGGTTGAATGTAAAGTAACAGAGTTAGCGTTCTTGTCTGTGGTGTGTGTACATGAGTGTATCATAGGCCTAACAACTGTGGTTCAGGAGTCTGCGTGATTGACATTATTTTAATGATAAATGTAACCTTACTAACACGTGTTTTTAATTTAACCAATTGTTTACTTAGAGTTTAAGACGTATTCAATCCATGTAGGACTAATGTGAACTTTAACCTTTAAGTGAAGGACGTTTTTGTCGTACCGTAGGACACGAATCGTCTGGTAAACAGCACGTGGCCCCAGCTGACCCAGTGTTTCCAGTGGACTGTGCTGCCACTGGTCCCGTGTGTCTGGGTCTGGCTGACCCTACCCGTACACGTCTGGTACATCCGCCACCACCCCCCGGACTTCTTCAAGATTGGAAACAGCAAATTTAACAGTTTAAAAATTGTAAGTAGGCTAAATGCGAAAGTTTGGATAATGGAACTTGCTAAGGGAAGACAATCACTGTAGGTTTTAGTACAGAATTTGTTTTTAGGCAAAATGTTTTTGTTTGACGACTGAAGTAAACGTTTTAGTAGAGCTACTCCAACACAAACAGAATGGTACATTTGGGAAATGGAAATACCGGTACTAGCTTCAGCTCCTTTAGTTTCCATGATAAATTAGTTGAATAGAAAAAGTTGGCAAGCTAGTAAACAACTTTAAGAAAATACTTATATAAATGAAAATGACGAGTTTTAAAATTGTATATAAAGTTACACAATATTTTGAAAACATTATTTTACTAAATATAAACCAACCATTGCCAGATTCTTAACTTAAAATAAAGCCAAACGAAATATTTCCATCAGGTTGTGTCTGTGCTGTTAGCTGTCCTGTCTATCGCCAACGCTATCGTCACTGCACTGTCTGACCAAGCCACGCTTCCCGCTAGGGCTGTCTATGTGTCGAGTTCTCTGACAGCGGTCTCTTATGTAAGTTAGGCGAATTAAGTATATGAAAAACTTTAGCAACTGTTGGACAATCAACATTTTATACTATTAAACGTACGCTCTAACAAACTTACAAGAGGTAACTTTAAAATTAATTTTAAGTTCTGGTTTTAAATATTTTCATAATGTAGTATTCTTTTTTGTTTTTTTAATACTTCATCAGTAATACTTACAAAAAAAACTAGTATTGGCCCACTTATTGATATTGTAATAGAATGCACATTATACTAGATAGCATTTATCTGCCACATTTTATTTATAGTCACTGGTGGCCTATTTGACCAGAAGTTCCAGGAAAGCTGGCCTGACCTCCCCTTGCCTTTTGTTTATATTTTGGTTGCTGAGTTCTGTCTGTCACGTGGTACCTGTTTACAGTTTTCTGGTGCTAAAAGTAAGAAATTTGTGTTATTATTATTGTTTTAATTTTTTTATTTTCGAATGTTCATCACAGCAAAATGTAAACTGATTTTTCAATGGTGCCCCTTGTAGCTGACTAAGAATAATGTTTATATTTCTTAGCTTTAACTTTAAATTTTAAATTAATGAGGATGATGATAGTGGTACACAACAGAAATTAAAAATTATAATATAAATTATTATAATTAAATATAATGGCATAAATTATAGTATAGTAATAGTTATAGACTATAACTTATAATATAATAAATAATTATATATTAGGCATATATATTATAATAAATAATATATATTCTATATTAATCAGTATATTATTATTATATCATCATTGCCTGCTATTTGGCTATTAAATAATAAATATTGATTCATTAAGTAAATATTGAAATGATATACCCATTTTAACCCAGAAGATCTAGAATCTAGTTCTAATATATTCAGTGTTTCTTTCAAGATATTTTTTTCTCTGCAGGGCTACATTAGACAAATATTTTATTAAGAATGTGTGTTGCTACTTCATCAGAATTTATGTTCTTCAATAACTAATGAGAAACTTGATCAATTTTACAGATCTACAGCCAAGAAAATATTCAGTTTGATATTCTCAGCGTGGCATATGGGCTGGTTTTAATTCAGTTTCTAATGAGTTTTAAATCAGAATCCCTGACACACAAATATCCACTTGATAACTCCACAAAGGTGTGTTTGACGTTTTGTTTTTAAAACTTCTAGATCTACAATTAATTTAGTTTTTAAGTAGAAGTAAGTGAATCACTGCCTAAAAATGTGTTTTACTAAAATATGTAACTAAATGACATGATTATCTATCAGTAAACTAAATAACATAAATTACCTTTCATTTTTAAATATACCTAGGTTATTTCCCTTTGACAGTTTATTTGCTATCAGCTGTTGTGGTTGTATAAAAGAAAAAAGAAAATTATTTCCAACCCCACCAATACCCTTCTAAAAAAAAATACCATGCCTACTTAATTTGAAAACCTAAAACCTGAATTGTTGCTTTGAATAGTTGTTTTTGTAAAATTCATCAAAAAGTGAAAAAGAATTTTCTTCCCATAAATTCTCAGAAAACATGTCCTGAACTCACAGCATCATTCCCGTCAAAGTTGACATTCCACTGGATGACAAGGTATTTTTTACTCCTTTTTTTTTTAGATTAAATCGAACTCATTTTAAAATAAAAAAAAAAAAACATTTAATAAAAGTATCTCTTTTTATGTCAGGTTTGAAAACAGAACTTAACTTAACTTTAATTAAAATAAACTCGTCAAATTGGCATCTTTTCTTCTAGTTACATATGGAAGGGTTTCAGACAGTCATTGAGTCCTGAGGATATCTGGGAATTACCACAACACTTCAAGTCTGCTCAAGTTGTGCCAGATTTCCAAGACCACTGGGATTCAGAAAGTTTTAGAGTGCACCGAAAGAATGAGTATGTCATCAATTTTTTAGTGCATCGAAAAAATAAGTGTCATAAATTTTACAGTGCACCTAAAGAATGAGTAAATCCTATATTTTATAGTGTACCAAAAGAATAAGTATGTCAATAAATTTTACAGTGCACCTAAAGAATGAGTAAATCCTAAATTTTATAGTGTACCAAAAGAATAAGTATGTCAATAAATTTTACAGTGCACCTAAAGAATGAGTAAATCCTAAATTCATAACTTACCTTTGGTTTCAACAAATTAGTAATCAGAAACTTTTTCTAAATTTTTTTTTTGTCCCAGGTGTCTTAAGACAAAAAGTTTCTTACAAGATGTGTCAGAGCAGACGTCACTTCTGGCAGCAGACGTCCAGAAGGAAGTGAAACACAAGCCTTCACTGTGCCGGACATTGTTTAAAACCTACGCCCCTGACCTGCTGAGGGCTCACGCCATTAGGCTTGTGGCAGACACACTGTTGTTTGTGTTACCTGTACTCACCAAGTAAGGAATTATTTTATTACAATGTCAACATTTAGTTCATGCCATTAGGCTTGTTGCAGACACTGTTGTTTGTGCTGCCTGTACTCACCAAGTGAGGAGTTAATCATTACAATGTCAACATTTAGTTCATGCCATTCGGCTTGTGGCAGACACATTATTTGTGTTACCTGTACTCACCAAGTGAGGAGTTAATCATTACAATGTCAACATTTAGTTCATTCCATTAGGCTTGTTGCAGATACACTGTTTGTGCTGCCTGTACTCACCAATTGAGGAGTTATTCATTACAATATCAACATTTGGTTCATTAACTACAAATTAAACGGTTCTTTAAGTTATAAAATTAAGTTTTATTACAAAATAAACTATTTCATTCTAAAGTCATCAGTTTAATTACAAAGTAAACAAGTAAAAAGTTAACAGTGTAATTACAAAGTAAACTCAGTAAATGCAAAGTAAACAGAATTTTATCAAGTTACCGAGTTAAGTTTTAATACAAAATAAACCATTTCATTGTAAAATCAAAGTCATCAGTTTGAGTAACAATAAAGAAAACTGCATCTATTATACTCAGCCTGTCAATAAAATTATTAAAATGTTATTGTTCTAGTGACTGTTTAAATGGGTTCCAGTAGATGGGATAGCACTAGGGGATCGGTGTATTATTTTTTAAACTAATTTCTACAAGTCTGTGGACATCCCACCCATCAATTTTATATGGACAAATTTTGTGTGTTCTAAGATCATCCCTCCCAAATTTTGTTTTCTAGCCAGCTGATCAACTTTGTCCAGACAAAGAAGGATCACATCAAGTGGCACGGTTATGCTCTGGTGGTTTGTTTTTTTCTGGTGGCATTTATCTACTCGCTGCTCTTCAACCAGAACTCTTATAGGTAATTATGTTGATTAATCAGAATTCTTATTCCTAATTATGTTGATTAACTAGACTCTTATTTGTAATTATGTTAATTATCATTAAATAAAATGTTCTCCTATCCTAAGCTTTGAAATTACTAAAATATGTATGTAGCCCATTACAAGCTTTGTAAGGTAAATTTTTTTTACTATCTTTCAGGGGAGCTAATGTTGGAATGAAAGTAAGAACTGCTTTAATAGCTGCTGTGTATAAAAAGGTATGCTTATTTGATGGAAATTCCATGATAATAATTTATTTTTACTTCTTGAATTTTTTTGCTGACAATTTTACTCAATAACTTTGTGTTATGAACTGTAAAAACATGTAAAATACAAAAATTACTTCCCTTGCCCAGTCTCTGGCTATGAACACTGAAACCAAGAGAAAGTACACCATTGGTAAAATTATGAACCTGATGGCCATAGACTGTCAGATACTGCAGGATGTGACCTCTAATCTGTACATTGTGACCTCCGCCCCGTTCCAGGTATTTTAGTATTGGTATCACCAATTTGCATAATGTTCTGGCTTAAAATTGTTTATAGGCCTACATTTTAATACTATGTATTAGTTTTTTTAAGCTTCTATAAAAATTGAAATGAAGAACAATTTTGTTTCAAGTTCTTTTGTATGTATTTCAGCTGAATATATTAACACAAGTACTAAAATGTGTATACTTTGTTCTCAGATTAGCATAGCTTTCTACTTCCTGTACAGAACTTTGGGAGTTTCCTCCCTTGCTGGTGTAGTTCTAATAATAGCACTGATCCCACTGAATGCTAAGATCTTAATTCTGGCCAAGAGAATTCAGTGGAAACAGCTGGATGTTAAGGATGAAAGAATTCGACTGATGAATGAGATCTTGACTGCTATAAAGGTCTGATAGCCAATATTGGCTAGTAATTTCTTGATGCCTCAAAGTTAATGTGGTTTTATTAGTTTTGTTTGGGAAAGGGCAGTTCGTTTAAATTTATTTAATTATACTTAATAAGTGATAACTGTAAAAATGTCCTCCTGCTGTATGCACCATTTGATTCCCTTGTTCTGAAGGTGGTGAAAATGTACACATGGGAGAATTCATTCGTCCACAAGGTCAGGTCCTTGAGATCAAGGGAGATGACTCTACTGAAGTCTGCAGCCATACTGAATGTGATCAATGTCTTCACCTGGCTCTGTTCCCCTGTGTTGGTAAGACATTAAGTACTTGGCAGAAGGCCAAAATAGATGTGACATTAGCCTTACAGACACAATAGAAAAACTCCTACACAGCTCATGATTTAAACTCAACACTGATAGTGTTAACTCTGAATGACTTTTATATCTTTAAAACTCACTTTTTTCCCCTTGCAACATGACTGTTAAACATGTGATTTAGTAAAGAGCTAACTACATTTTTTATAATATCTGTTAACATATTTTTTTGAAATTATGGGTGAGTGGCCAGATTTTAATATTTTTTTTATTTTTTTATCTCTTTAGATGACAACAGTTACTTTTATTAGCTGTATCTATGCCTCAAGTCATCGAAGCTTTGATTCCAACACTGCCTTTGTTTCGCTTATCCTGTTCAACATTTTGGCCAACCCCATGAACAAACTGGCAGCTATAATATCAGATCTCATCTCAGTGAGTGAAGAACTTCTTGAAGAAAGCTAACTAAAAATTGTATGGGTTTTGTGTGTGGTTGATACATGGTCAATCACACAAGTCACTTGAATATTCCCTCTTGGCTTAGGCTGACAAAGGCTACTGCAATGCTCATACAGCAAAAACAGCAGCACTGACACTGGTGCTAGCTGACAAAAAGGGTAGCTTGGCTCAAAGTGTAAATCACTAGAAATATCTACATTATCCTCATCTTAGTGCATTTAAAATGAGCATTTCATATAAATTGTGTCTTGTTTTAGTGTTTTCCTTTTGTGCATGTTTTATTTTATAAATTATTCAACTTTAAATTATTTCAGGTGCATGTATCTATAAGCCATGTTTCTTCCAGACTTTTTCTCCGGGGGGGGGGGGGGGGGGGGGGGGGGGCGGACACTGTTAATTAAATTCCATTTGGTTCTGGGTGGGGGGGGGGTGTCCCGAAGAGATGCCTGGAAGAAACTGTCTATAAGTTAAATTATTTCAGGTCCATGTATCTATAAGTTGAAAGATTTTAGGTCCATGTATCTATAAGTTAAATTATTTCAGGTCCATGTATCTATAAGTTGAAAGATTTTAGGTCCATGTATCTATAAGTTGAATTTTTTCAGGTCCATGTATCTATAAGTTAAATGATTTCAGGTCCATGTATCTATAAGTTAAATGATTTCAGGTCCATGTATCTATATGTTGAATGATTTCAGGTACATGTATCTATAAGTTGAATGATTTCAGGTCCATGTATCTATAAGTTGAATGATTTCATGTACATGTATCCATAAATTGAATGATTTCAGGTACATGTATCTATAAGTTGAATGATTTCAGGTCCATGTATCTATAAGTTGAATGATTTCATGTACATGTATCCATAAATTGAATGATTGCAGGTCCATGTATCTATAAGTTGAATGATTTCAGGTACATGTATCTATACGTTGAATGATTTCAGGTACATGTATCTATAAGTTGAATGATTTCATGTACATGTATCCATAAATTGAATGATTGCAGGTCCATGTATCTATAAGTTGAATGATTTCAGGTCCATGTATCTATAAGTTGAATGATTTCATGTACATGTATCCATAAATTGAATGATTGCAGGTCCATGTATCTATAAGTTGAATGATTTCAGGTACATGTATCTATAAGGTGAATGATTGCAGGTCCATGTATCTATAAGTTGAATGATTTCAGGTCCATGTATCTATAAGGTGAATGATTGCAGGTCCATGTATCTATAAGGTGAATGATTGCAGGTCCATGTATCTATAAGTTGAATGATTGCAGGTCCATGTATCTATAAGTTAAATGATTGCAGGTCCATGTATCTATAAGTTAAATGATTGCAGGTCCATGTATCTATAAGGTGAATGATTGCAGGTCCATGTATCTATAAGTTGAATGATTTCATGTACATGTATCCATAAATTGAATGATTGCAGGTCCATGTATCTATAAGTTGAATGATTGCAGGTCCATGTATCTATAAGTTGAATGATTTCAGGTCCATGTATCTATAAGTTGAATGATTTCATATACATGTATCCATAAATTAAATGATTGCAGGTCCATGTATCCATAAATTGAATGATTGCAGGTCCATGTATCTATAAATTGAATGATTGCAGGTCCATGTATCCATAAATTGAATGATTGCAGGTCCATGTATCTATAAGTTGAATGATTTCATGTACATGTATCCATAAATTGAATGATTGCAGGTACATGTATCCATAAATTGAATGATTGCAGGTCCATGTATCCATAAATTGAATGATTGCAGGTCCATGTATCCATAAATTGAATGATTGCAGGTCCATGTATCTATAAGTTGAATGATTTCATGTACATGTATCCATAAATTGAATGATTGCAGGTACATGTATCCATAAATTGAATGATTTCAGGTCCATGTATCTATAAATTGAATGATTGCAGGTCCATGTATCTATAAGTTGAATGATTGCAGGTCCATGTATCTATAAGTTGAATGATTTCAGGTCCATGTATCTATAAGTTGAATGATTTCAGGTCCATGTATCTATAAGTTGAATGATTGCAGGTCCATGTATCCATAAATTGAATGATTGCAGGTCCATGTATCTATAAGTTGAATGATTGCAGGTCCATGTATCCATAAATTGAATGATTGCAGGTCCATGTATCTATAAGTTGAATTATTTCAGGTCCATGTATCTATAAGTTGAATGATTGCAGGTCCATGTATCCATAAATTGAATGATTGCAGGTACATGTATCCATAAATTGAATGATTGCAGGTCCATGTATCTATAAGTTGAATTATTTCAGGTCCATGTATCTATAAGTTGAATGATTGCAGGTCCATGTATCCATAAATTGAATGATTGCAGGTCCATGTATCCATAAATTGAATGATTTCAGGTCCATGTATCTATAAGTTGAATGATTTCAGGTCCATGTATCTATAAGTTGAATGATTTCAGGTCCATGTATCTATAAGTTGAATGATTGCAGGTCCATGTATCTATAAGTAGGATTGAAGAGTACCTTTGCAGTCCAGACCTTAACACTAATGTAATTTCTAAGGAAAACGTCAATGAGAAATCTTGCTATGAGGGTCAAGGTCGAAATCTGCACCTCCGATCTGGCAAAAGTAAATAATTCAATTTTCTTAATTAGTCTTGTACTGAAAGAAATGTTTTAAAATTCCTGTTCTATTAGTTTTAATGCTTAGCAGGAACATTACATTGTTGCAAAGGTTAATTGTAGATAATTTTTACACCTTTAGATGCAGTCACTATTTCAAATGGAACTTTTTACTGGGATAAAACAATGCCACCTGTGCTAAAAAGGTGAGACTTTTCAAATAGATTTGTTAAAGTCCAAAATTGTCTTCCTTAATGTACAATTTAAATTTCTTCAAGTATTTAAATTATGGAATGGTGTGGTCGAATTGCGGAGCATACGTCTACTAACCAGAAAGTCTAGAGTTCAAATCTCACTTAAAGTTCTGTCCCCGAGTCCACCCAGCTCTGATAGGTACCTGACTCACTTTAGGGAAAGTAAAGGCAGCTTGGCATACTGCTCACAACATTATTCCAGCATATGCAAAGGTAACAGAAACAGATGAACTCTACTTCACTTGACCCATATAATATATAATGTCAGATTCAAGAGGGAACTTTACCAACTAAATATCTATTTTAATGATTATAATTTTTATTAGTATAGACTTGACAAAGATATTCATGGTTTGTATTACATTAATATAGACTTGACAATTTTACTACAATTCTACCACATTAGTATAGACTTGACAATTTTACTACAATTCTACCACATTAGTATAGACTTGACAATTTTACTACAATTCTACCACATTAGTATAGACTTGACAATTTTACTACAATTCTACCACATTAGTATAGACTTGACAATCCCTGAAGGCAAGCTTGTTGCTGTTGTGGGCCAGATGGGTGCAGGGAAATCTTCTTTGTTGTCTGCCATTCTTGGTGAGATGGAGAAAACTGCAGGGGAGGTTACTGTCAGGGTAAGCAACTTTTGTCTCCCTTGTCCTTTAAAGTCATTTGTCTACCTAGTTTTTTTGTGTTAGAGGACATTTTTCCTTTCTTTCAATGTAAACTAAATATTAGTCTGTGTATTTTAGTTTCAAAATGTTATAAATAATTTACATGTCAACAAATTTTAAAGTTATCTCTCTGCAATAAGCCTACATATATTAGTTTTTAAGAAAGGCATTAATTTTTTTGTTTTCTTGCTTCTAGGGCAGTGTGGCATATGTGCCCCAGCGGGCATGGATACAAAATAAAACAATAAAACAGAACATAATATTTGAGCAGCATTACAATAACTCCCGTTACTCCAGAGTGTTGAAAGCTTGTGCTTTAAAACACGACCTGGAGGTTTTAAATGGAGGTGAAAATGCTGAAATTGGAGAACATGTAAGATCAGAATTTTTTTTTTTCATTTTTACAAGATTACATTTGATTTATATTTTTGGACATTTAGTTTGTATGTATAGTTGTACAAATATTTAAATTTAAATAAATGTACGCCAGCTAAAATAAATATTTAAATTGGTGAAGTCCACTAACACTAACAGTCATTGTCTAATCTTTTTGTCAGGGCACCAACCTAAGTGGAGGACAGAAACAACGCATCTCACTGGCCCGAGCTGTGTACAGCGATGCTAGCGTGTATTTGTTTGATGATCCACTCAGTGCTGTAGACACCCTAGTAGGCAAACACATCTTTAAGAACGTCATCAGCAACAGTGGGCTACTCAAGCATAAGGTCTCGTTTGTTTTGTTTTTTACTTCAGTTTTTTTTACATTATGCTTAAATCTGCTTTTTATTCATTTCTTGATTATAATAATTGTAAATTATGAATTTGTAAATGTACCATGACAGAGATAGTTTGGAGGCCTCCTGTAGTTGTAAACGAATTACAACTTTTTTGTTAAATTTTGTTTCTGAGGTTTCTAGTTTTTCAAAAACATTATGCAGGATCAGCATTTGAATCTAGATCTAGCTTGCACAATGAATAATTCTTACCTTTCTTGTTTGAACTTTACTTATATCGGCATAATTTTGTTGAAATACATATCAGTTATATTGAGAAGAAAAATATTTCTATCAATTGCTTGTAACCTACCAACCTCTTCTGAGCAGACCCGTGTTCTGGTGACCCATGGTGTCCACTGGCTTCCCATGGTAGATCAGATCATTGTCCTACACTGGGGTCATGTCCTGCAGACAGGAAGCTATGAGGACCTGTTGAGGAGAGATGGGCCTTTTGCTCAATTTCTTAAAAATTACTTGCTGGACGATGATGAGGTCACTGACCCTGAAAGTGAGTAGGTTTTTCTTGGCCAGGGTAAAAAAACAGATCTATTCTCTGGCAGTTTATTTCTCTGCTAATTTATTTCTCTGCTAATTTATTTCTCTGCTAATTTATTTCTCTGCTAATTTATTTCTCTGCCAATTTCTTTCTCTGCCAATTTCTTTTTCTGCCAATTTCTTTTTCTGCCAATTTCTTTTTCTGCCAATTTCTTTTTCTGCCAATTTCTTTTGCTGCCAATTTCTTTTGCTGCCAATTTATTTTGCTGCCAATTTATTTTGCTGCCAATTTATTTTGCTGCCAATTTATTTTGCTGCCAATTTATTTTGCTGCCAATTTATTTTGCTGCCAATTTATTTTGCTGCCAATTTAATTATCTGGCAGTTTGTAGATCACAAGAATAAACTTTACGGTACCTCGGCCTACAATCACACTTCAATTTCAAATTTTTTTGTGTGTTAGAAATTGTAATTTCCATTATTTTTATTTAGAATGTTTAAGGTTTCAATATTTTATAAGGCTACAATAAACATTTCAGTCAGTTTCATCCGGAATGAAATGTGGAAGAGAGTTGACAGTGTCACTTCTGATGGACTCACGTCTGCTGATGAGGAAGAAAGACCAAGGAGGCAACGAAGAGTCAGACGGTAACATTTTAATGTTTTTTACTCCCAGAAACTCAACATTTTCCACCCCTATCTTATCCTATATCACTATTATATCCTTTATATCCATTATACGCTGGTATAAATTAATGTAAGCCAACCAAATTCATAAAGAGAATTGAATTGAATAGAAATAACCTTTATTTTGTTGATGGTTTCTGTTTTTAGCCAAAGTTTTATAGATTCAGTCACGCATTCATCAAAGTTTGAAGGACAAAGTGGTGAATCTATTTTAAGCAAGCCAGAAAATCTGTTGGTTGAAGAAGAGAAATCAGAAACCGGAAAGGTAATAAATTGTTTTGAGTCTGTGAGGTTAGAGGGCCTTGCATGGCGATCTTACTAGTTAGGGGAGGGGGGGTCTAATGGGTACTAGACCTGAGCAAAAGAAACTGTTTCTTTCAGACTTTTTTATCCGGTTGGGGGCTCGTGGTAATTTCAGGCGAGGGGGGGGTGGGATTGGGACACTAGTAAAGTATATATCATCTATATAATTTCCCCTGAAGAGATGCCTGGAAGAAACTGATAGGAAAGGAAATCTAGAACTCTCCACTTTATTTACAGCTTAAGTTGTGGTAACCGATCAACCTAACCTAACAATTACTGCCAGCACATTGAGCATAATTCATATTGCTGTTAAGAAATTTAGCACAGGGTTAATGTAATTTAATCTTGCACTATTCATCGTAATTCAGCTTCCATTTTCTATTTTTTTTTACGGTTTCAGGTGAAATTTTTTGTCATCTGTCATTTCTTAAAAGCATTTGGACCTTGGTTTGCACTGATGCTGCTGTTTCTGTTGCTGGGTTACCAGAGTGTTGGTGTGGGGGCCAGCATCTTATTGTCCATCTGGACAGATGACCCTTGTCTGAGGAACAAAACCTTGGTGGACACAGATCTGTATAGGTCAAGGACTTTCACCTATGTATTGGTGTACAGTGCTCTTGGCTTTGTCCAAGGTAATTGAAAATTTTTAGTTGCTCAATATTTGCAGCGTGACTTGAAGCTTATGGTTTGTGAATGCATTGAGTGTATGCTTGATAATCTTACTGATCCAATCTCATGTCTTTGGCTCAAGTCTATAGAATGTTCCAGAGCACTTAGCTTAGTTAGGTACCAGACTTGATTTGGGGACAGTAAAACTTAGTGCATTGGCCTGATCTCTTCACCTGTATGACAGCTGGGTCAGAATGAGAGGAGCCTAATTTTTTTATTTCTTTTTTTTTTTTACATATTTTAAAAAATAATGGAAAAAAATATTTATTCCAAATATCTGTATGTTTCAATTTAAAGCTAACTAAAAAGAATGAGTAAATTTAAAATTTCTACCAAACAATTTTTAAATTCTGATTTCAGCATTGTGTGCCCTTGGATTTGTAAGCACCATTTATCTGAGAATGGTCGAGGCCTCAAAGCATCTTCACGATGACCTCCTAGAGAATATCATGCACCAGCCAATGAAATTCTTCGACACAACGCCAGTGGGGAGGATCCTGAACAGGTTCTCTAGAGATGTGGACATGGTAGATAGCACGATGCCGCGATTGGTCAGGATGTTCAGCCAGCAACTGTTTACTGTCTTGAGTGTGGTGGTTGTCATCTCGTACACCACCCCATTGTTTGTGGCGGCTATCTTTCCTGTGGTCATCATTTATTATTTACTTCAGGTATGTCGTTTTAGCCTATTAATTTTTTTCTTACATAATCGTTTTTACTAGAGAACTTTAATTTGAAATAGTTAACAGAAATAATCTTTTTAATGGCATTTCTGTTGTAAAACTTAGTTTACATTAAATTTCTTGAGTTAATTACTGAAATATTTGTATTGTAATTAAAAGGAGTTGATATTCGCATTGAAATAAAACAGTTATGTCCCTGTTTAAATGCTGATTAGGTACTTAATTACTGATGCATTTTTCCCCAGAAACTTTACATTCCAACTTCTAGACAGCTGCGACGAAATGAATCGACCACACGTTCACCAATTTATTCTCACTTTAACGAAACCCTGACTGGCGTAAGCACCATCCGAGCATTTAATGCTGTCGACAGGTTTTCTAGGGAGTCACAGAAAAGAGTTGACGTCAACAATGCTTATATTTACACTTTCACTTCAGCTAGCAGGTACAGATAAGATTTCGTCCAAACTTTTATAGTCCAAACTCCCTAAATGTAACTCCTAGTGCATATAAAAACAGAAATGAATTATAATCTAATATTCCTTTTATCAAAAAGTAAAATCCTTTTTTTTTTAAATGTAAATTATATATGGCTCCCTTTGCAGTTTTGCTGGGAATCAAATATGACATAACAATTGAAGTAATAATATTTAATGCAAATAAATGTATTCTAAATAAAGATTATTCCATGACTTTTTCTTTAGATGGATCCGCATTAGACTGGAGCTGTTGGGTAATGTGATAGTGGCATCAGCAGCCTTGTTGGCTGTAGTGACAGACAGTTTGACTGGAAGTCTTGTAGGATTGTCCATCTCATATGCTCTTCAGGTTAGCTTTGTTTTGATGGGTCAACTTTTATTTTAAATATTTACACTTCTTTTCTTATAGAAATCTTATTCTATTCTAATTTCTAATTTTTTCTTCTGCTTACATTTTCTAATTTCTTTTCTAATTTACTCTTGTACCCCATATTTAGGTGACCAGCTAATATTCTTGTACCCCATATTTAGGTGACCAGCTAATATTCTTGTACCCTATATTTAGGTGACCAGCTAATATTCTTGTACCCCATATTTAGGTGACCAGCTAATATTCTTGTACCCTATATTTAGGTGACCAGCTAATATTCTTGTACCCCATATTTAGATGACCAGCTAATATTCTTGTACCCCATATTTAGGTGACCAGCTAATATTCTTGTACCCCATATTTAGGTGACCAGCTAATATTCTTGTACCCAATATTTAGGTGACCAGCTAATATTCTTGTACCCCATATTTAGGTGACCAGCTAATATTCTTGTACCTGATATTTAGGTGACCAGCTCCTTGAATGAACTGGTACAGAATGCCACTCAGCTAGAGAGTAATGTTGTGTCAGTGGAGAGGATTGTTGAGTACTCCATGCTGCCACAAGAGGTGAACTAATTAATTAATGTTGATGTTAACTAATTTTAAACTGCACCATGGCACCGGCTGGAAATTTTTCAGCAATTTTTTATTTTTAGGCTTAACTCTTTAAGTTATAACTACATACTAAATATGATAGAATTAGGTTTAGAAATTAGCATTTTGGCTGGTCACCTGCCCATGACCGTAAACTTCAAATTAAGCTTTGTATTGTAATAAAGTTTGTAAATATTTAAATTCAGCCATCTTGGAAAAGTTACACACAACTGAGATCTGATTGGCCAAGCAGAGGTGACATCACCTTTCAGTCATACAGTACCAGATACAGACCTGACCTTGACCTAGTTTTGCTCAACATCAACTGTCACATCAAAGGTGGAGAAAAGGTCACAAATGTTCTGAAATTTTTTTAACACACACATAGGGCCTACATTGTTTTATTCTGTTTAAACACACACATAAGGCCTACATTGTTTTATTTTTCAAAAAATGTCCTCTAAAACTTTTGTTTTAATTACCTTCAGATTGGTATTGTAGGTAGAACAGGTGCCGGCAAGTCTTCAATATCTATGGCACTGTTCCGCATGATTGAATCAGCAGAAGGTAGCATCATAATCGATGGAATAGACATTGCTGAGGTTGGACTTCATGACCTAAGATCAAGAATAACAATCATCCCACAGGTATTTCTGACAATCTTTAATTGGTGGTTATTGTTACTATTTCTCGGACAGTTATTATGTTTTCTTAGAAATTTCTTGTTTTGCATATAAATGATCAAATTTTTTATTATTTTTAAAAAAAATTTATTTTATTCAAAATTATTTTAATCACTGCGGCAGGATCCAGTGCTGTTTTCTGGCACTCTTCGATTCAACCTTGACCCATTTAACGTGTACTCTGACACTGAAATCTGGACGTGCCTGGAGCATGCCAAACTGAAGAGCATAGTCCTTGACCTTCCTGGAGGCCTGTTGTATGTTTGTGAAGATGGAGGCCACAATCTCAGGTGGGTCAGTAGGTCAAAGAATGTTGCAGGTGTCAGAAAATAATTTTTAAATCTAGTAATTTCAAGTTGGCAAAAAAAAAATCACTTCAATTCTGTTTAACTAATAAAAATTTGAAATTCATTTTAATAAACAGATAATTCTATAACCAAATTATAATCAAATTTATTATTTCTTTTGTTAATTACATTTTTGTTAAATGTTGCTAATTTTTTTTTTTTTTTTCTTCTTTGAAATTTAATTCAAGGCAAGTTTTATACTCATAAAGTTTTATATTCATAAACTTTTTTTTAAAAATAATTCTTACATATGGTAGTATTTAACTGCATTATTTTTTCAGTGTTGGTCAGAGACAGCTTGTTTGTTTGGCCAGAAGCCTCTTGAGGAAGAACAAGATTTTAATCCTAGACGAGGCTACGGCAGCTGTGGATCTGGAGACGGATGGGCTCATCCAGGAAACCATCCGGCTGTGCTTTAAAAACTGCACGGTGCTCACTGTGGCACATAGAATTAACACCATAATGGATTATGACAGGTAACATCTGATTTTAAACTGCTGGATTTGATAGTACTGTCTTGATTTAAAAGGCTGTGGTGAATGATAGCATCTGATTTTGATAGTTGGCCTGTCTTATCTTAATCTGCTATGTTGAATGGTAACAGTTGATTTTAAACTATTGGGATGAATGGCAATATTGTTACCCTTTTTCATCTGAAAATTATAAATACTTTTCATATAATTGTTGTATTAAAAAAAAATTATACTTTTTATTTTAGGATTCTTGTGTTAGCCAATGGGAGTATAGCAGAGTATGGTACAGTGGAAACTCTCCTCACCAACAAAGGATCAACATTTTATGGGATGGTCAAGGAGGCAAATCTTCTCCCATACAGAGCAGGTTAGGTAAAACTTGATGTTGGTGGGGAAAAAAAGTTTGTTAATGTCAAGAATTGATCAAGTCATCCTGGTCTTTTAACATGTTTTACCTTTATACATTTTTTTTTTATCCTTCGTATGGATTTAAAGATTGTCATTTTAATTAGTTAATGTAACCAGCTTTTTGCTGAAACAAACTTCTAGAAAATAACTTCTGAATTGTAGGCCAACTTAATTTACTTGTTATGGTCTAAAAATAGATATGTTTATTACTTTTAAAGAAAAGTAAATACTGAATTGTTGTTACAGCTGATAGTAAAATCTGTTTTAAGAAATGTATTGATTTGTTCTCTGAAGACATTTTAAAAAAAACAATGTGATATCATTAGGCTGAGAGCCAACTTTTAAAACATGTTTTAGAAAAAAACACCTGTTTTTTTAATGCAATATTTTTTTTATTTTTTTTTTTATTTATTTTATTTTTTTCTCATTTAGTTTGTGAGGGCACTGATACCATTTGCCTATTTATTATCATGTGTGGTATATGCTATGGAAAATGTGCTTTAAATGTCAAAATGTTGGTGTATGCTTTGCATGTTAAAATTTTGGTATATGTTTTGTTAAAATGTTGTTTTAACCTTTAAAAGAAAAATGGTAGGCCTACATGCTAGTATAGAATGATAGTAAAAATAAGCAAATTTTGTCAAGACTTGTGTAAAATCCAGTGGTTGTTACATTTTTATAGCTATGTACAAGCTGCTGTAATAAAAATGACAGTGAAGGCACCTTTTGATAAAACTTTTAAAATTTCCTTTATTAAAATTGACAAAATTATATGAAAGAAAATTTGACTTTTTTTTAAATTTAAAAATTGTGTGCACATTTGTTGATAAAAATAATCTTTAAGCGCTACAAGTGTAATATTTTAAGCAAATAAGCGGAATTGTGAATCACAAAACATTAAACCAATTTAATCCATATTTTACATAAATTGATTTATCAGTTGATCTTATAAGTGTGGATGCTTTTTATTAGAATGAGGTATAGTCAACCTTTTTAAAGTTCTAAAATTTGAACTTAAAACATGTTTTTAGTTTTCCTCTTTATTTTTTGTTTACTCCACAATGTATGAATGGCCATGAGTCCAAGTTTTTAAACTCAGTTTACATTGTTCTTATACATACAATAAAAAATGTTTTTTTAAATGTGTCATTTACTTTATTAAGACTTGGGAACTTACTTCAACCAAATCTTGGCCATCAAACAAAAATTGGTCATCAAACAAAAATTGGTCATCAAACAAAAATTGTATATAAAATTAAAGATGGTTAATCTTTTTTACTCATTAAAAAAAAATATTGGCCTAGATTATTGTTGATTATTCACACACTTCACAGTAACTTCCCTTTGTTTTCCTGTAGGTAAATGTTAGATAGCTCAATCACAGTAACTTCCCTTTGTTTTCCTGCTGTTAGATAGCTCAATCACAGTAACTTCCCTTTGTTTTCCTGCTGTTAGATAGCTCAATCACAGTAACTTCCCTTTGTTTTCCTGCTGTTAGATAGCTCAATCACAGTAACTTCCCTTTGTTTTCCTGCTGATGTTAGATAGCTCAATCACAGTAACTTCCCTTTGTTTTCCTGCTGATGTTAGATAGCACTATCTCCCTACCACCTTTCGCTTTTTATTGTACTCGCATTAGACCTAGCTTGGGGTAAAAATATATAACGCACATAGATATAAATAGGTGTGTATGTATATAGGCTATACTAATGTATATAGGCTATACTAACATATATATATATATATATATAAATACACATATATTACAAGTACTTTATATATTTATACATATTTATGTGTATATATATGTAGAGAGCGTGTCTGACAAATCATCATTTCTCAAGTGGGCCTAGATCTAGGCATTGCTTGTTTTCTAGTACTTCATCTATCAAGAGGTTAATCTAGCTTCGGAATACTTGAGGGAATTTTACAGGTTTATCTAGCTTCGGAATACTGGAGGGAATTTTACAGGTTTATCTAGCTTCGGAATACTTGAGGGAATTTCACAGGTTTATCTAGCTTCGGAATACTTGAGGGAATTTCACAGGTTTATCTAGCTTCGGAATACTTGAGGGAATTTTACAGGTTTATCTAGCTTCGGAATACTTGAGGGAATTTTACAGGTTTATCTAGCTTCGGAATACTTGAGGGAATTTTACAGGTTTATCTAGCTTCGGAATACTTGAGGGAATTTTACAGGTTTATCTAGCTTCGGAATTCTTGAGGGAATTTTACAGGTTTATCTAGCTTCGGAATACTTGAGGGAATTTAACGGGTTTATCTAGCTTCGGAATACTTGAGGGAATTTTACGGGTTTATCTAGCTTCGGAATACTTGAGGGAATTTTACAGGTTTATCTAGCTTCGGAATACTTGAGGGAATTTTACAGGTTTATCTAGCTTCGGAATACTTGAGGGAATTTTACAGGTTTATCTAGCTTCGGAATACTTGAGGGAATTTTACAGGTTTATCTAGCTTCGGAATACTTGAGGGAATTTTACAGGTTTATCTAGCTTCGGAATACTTGAGGGAATTTTACAGGTTTATCTAGCTTCGGAATACTTGAGGGAATTTTACAGGTTTATCTAGCTTCGGAATACTTGAGGGAATTTTACAGGTTTATCTAGCTTCGGAATACTTGAGGGAATTTTACAGGTTTATCTAGCTTCGGAATACTTGAGGGAATTTTACAGGTTTATCTAGCTTCGGAATACTTGAGGGAATTTTACAGGTTTATCTAGCTTCGGAATACTTGAGGGAATTTTACAGGTTTATCTAGCTTCGGAATACTTGAGGGAATTTTACGGGTTTATCTAGCTTCGGAATACTTTCATACAACGTCTTACAAATCCATGATTCAAGCTACATACATGAAGGCTTAAGAGAAAAACAACAGATCGTTCACACATGCACCTCCTTAACATCCGCCTAACAAATATCACTAAACAAAAATAGAGATTATAGGTTTAAAACTGCCTGAAAGTTTTATATTTGATAGCCCAACATCAAATTACATGATACAGGTGTTTCTTTCTCTGAATCACGCCAAACCCCCTCCTCCCAAACAAGTGCTAATTTTTTTTTCAATTTGAGGCTAAATACTATAGAAACTATAATGTACTTTAATCATTGTATGTCCCGTGTACGGACGTTACACCCCCCCCCCTCCTCCCCGGAGAGATATCTGACAAAATCACTGGTGCTTGACATATTTTTCATATTAACAAAAGTGACTTATAGCATAATATTTTTAAAAAATTTAAATGTATATACTTACGATTTTGAAGAATGCAGAGTGCGGTCCGCAAACAACCACGCACGATTTGGAAGAGAAAATCTATATATATGTAACTAGTGTAGGCCTAGTTACTAGTCACTATTGTTAAGAACGCATTACAGTCTGATGCAACTGATAACGAACACAAAGCCACGGCGTATTTTGGGAAGGATACGACAAGCCGCTGCGCAGTTCACAGTCTGACGCAACAGGTGCAGGTGGTGTGGGGGCTGATAACAAAAGTCTAATAAAGACTAGTACGAGACAACTGCGTAGTAGTCGGAAGGCGAGATAATCGGATTGAACATGGCTATGGTGTAACGGATAGAACCGAATACGATTACGAATACGAGGAGATAAAATAGGAAGGCGACAGTTGAGAACGGGGCAGTATCAAGTTGGTTACTGAACGGGGTAGACGTATTGTGTTATGTGAGGATAGGAATTATGGACACGTGCATTCTGATATGTGAGGACTAGTGAGGACAGTGGGGGTCAGTTGGTTCATTGTATTCTTATGGAACATTGATACATTGTTATGTGGAGCATTTCTATTGATTCATGTAATAAAGAGATCAATGTAAACCTGCATTTCCGAGTATCTATATTGTGGTCGATGTTGTGTGCTGGTCAAAGGTAGCACGAGTAAATACACTCGGTAACATTTGGCTCTGTCAGCAGTGAAATCGGTAACATTTGGCACTACAAGCAAATAGACTCGGTAACATATATAATTCTCTTCTGGGAGCCGTTAGAAAACAAGCTGCAAGCGCCTCCTTGCAGTCCCCTCTATTTCTCTCTATCGCTATCACTCCACCTCACCCACACATGGTCTGGTGAGTTGTGGTCACGCTGTTTACATTTTACAATCAAAGAGACGGGTTTGGTGACGGCTATTAGGGGCAGATAATTTAGTTTGAAACGATTTTAAACTTAGAGGAGGTAACTAAGAGGAGGCTGCTTTCACGTGGGGGGGAGGGGGGTTTAGTGTTTTTAAGCAAATATTTTCAGTGGCAGCATTGGTACAGTCGAATTCACAAATTATAAATTACTGAAAAGTAGAAAAAAAACAACTAAATAGCGGCGTATGATACGCAGCGGGTCGGCTCGTATTTTTAAAATTGGAAATGAACTTTCGGAAATGAACGAAGTTGAAAACATGTACTAACAAAATTAATAACAATAAACGTAAGTAGTGTTGCAAAACCTGCAAAAGTAATGTATTTATAGCATGCTTATATATATTAATATATAACATATATATATATATATATATATATATATATATATATATATATATATATATATATATATATATATATATATATGTCCTATATGAAAATTAGGCTGTTCTACTTGCAACAGAACCTGTTAACAGGCATAATCCAGACCGTAGTTAGAGATTACCCTAAATAAACACGGCTCCACATCCCTGCTATTACAGGGACCAGTAATGGTGTCGGTATAAGGGGAAACAATCCCTAACTAAAATGTGAAATTCCAGAGTTGTTCGCATTACCTTCGTGTTTGCCTGTACCCATCATCTCTTGCTGAATTTCACAAGCAGGGCTAGGGTTGCACGATCCACAGGACATTGGGCAGAGTTGTTTTAGTGCTTCAATGTGACAGGAACCTGCCGACGCCAACAGCTTGCAGCTTTTCTCGTGGTCCATGCACAGTTTCCCGCCTTTCCCGCAGAAGTTGCAGGTTTTCCGACAGAAACCCATCATGACTTCCATATCCGACATACACTTTCCTTTTTCTTTCATGTCAGCGCAGTCTTCTCGTACGTCGTAGCAAAGTTTCTCCACAGGTTGGTCTGACACAGTTTGAAGATTGTAGGCGGGTGGTGCTCTGTTTACTTGGGAGCACAGGGTCAGAGGGTCGTTGACATCTCCAGAGTCGCACCAACACTTGCAAGATTCACTACCCTTGAGGGGTCTGGACAGCACGAAGCCACCATAAGGACACGGGGACAATGGTTTGGTACACATTAGCTCAGCACACTTGTACATAACGTTAGCCAGCTTAATATCTTTGAAAGAAAACCCTTCCCTTTGTCCAATTTTATTTTGGTAGCTGGGGTCCAGTGTTGTGATAGATGCGTTGAATCCGTCAGCTCCATAATGCATGATGCTTGTATAGTCATATTCAATGCCGTAAGTGTTAATTATATTGTCGTCGTATTTGTCAAAATTGCGCTGTCTTTCTTCACGGACTGAATCTAAGTTTATCTTGATGTATGTATCCCTGTCAGGTCGAGATTGTTCGTGGAACCAACCAATGGCGTGCCCGATCTCGTGGGCGATGATCCCGGGGGTGCGACAGCCCGGGGCCAGGGCGATAGGCTGGGTCGTGTTCTGCATGCCCAGCTGTGAGTAGCACCCGCCCCCGTCCCTGAACTGTATACGGTTCTGATTGGTCGTACTTGGACGAAACGACAAACATGTGTATTTCTCCCACTCGTCCATAGCCTGCCTGATAAATTTCATACTGTCGCTGATCGATGAATCGATCTCATAGTAGACATAACAGTTGGTCCATCGGGTGGCGAGATCTCGTAGTGCTTTTCTCTTGGATCGTTTTTCTCTGGCGTGAAGAGACTTGTATTCCTTCCATGTCAGCAAAAGGTCAAATTCCGTCATGACCATGACCTCTCCTTCAGGTGTCAAGTGCAGGAGGTCAAACATCCCCGCACTTGGTGCCGCATCCAAGATTTGTTTCTCCAGCGACTTGCCACCAACACAGTCCTGGAAAGTATTGAACAAGTTATCAGAACTTGTGCCTGATGATAAGAGCGCTTTAAAGAAGAGAAATATAATAACCGCGCAGTCCGCTCCTAGATTTTATATTATATTTTTAATGTACAATTACGTTTATCAATAAAATTGTTGGGATGCAACTTTGAATCAGTTTCAGGTAGAGAGTGTTGTAATGTATATGCTGTGGTGGGTAAACATAAAATTGTTTATGAAATAATGTTTAAATAGAATATATTTACCAAACAATAAGTCACATAAAACAACAGGATTACGAATTTAACACAGCGTGTAGGTGATGCACAGAAACAAGCCATCTCGTCCAGCAGAAATGTGTTTAATGAACAGGATATAAAATGTTGTGAGGAGCAACTATTCGGCATACTTCACCAACTTGCGTCAGAATGTTGTGAGGAGCAACTAATCGGCATACTTCACCAACTTGCGTCAGCTAAGGATCAGGGGAGGCCTCACTAAAGGGGAGGGGTAGATCTAGCTATTGTTTTGTGGCGTGTTAAATTTAGAAGAATTATTTCCACTAACACAATTTATGTTTTTATTAACAAAATAATTAACACCCAAGCCAAACAATAATGCAGGGCACTGTTCCAGGAGATAAAAGAAAGGGAAGCAAAGACGGAATTGGATAGAGCATACTCAGGGGCGACCTCGCTACGCCACTGAGCATACTACAGATTGGACTGGGATGCCCGTTGCAGAACTACTTAGAGCAGATGAGAACCGAGACAGAAGGCAAAGAGTTATGAGAAAATAAAATGTGGTGCCTCAACTCAGAGGCGTAGCGACCCCTCCCGGCGCCCGGAGCGGACTTTCAATTTGGCGCCCCCCCCCCCATATATGATCTGAAAAGCGGGTTTTGCCGGTCACTATTTCTTACAGGGATATGTTTTACAGTTACACAATCAAGGTAGAAAACAGTTAAATCAGTATGTAAAGGTTTGTAGCAATTACATTTCTTAACTTAGACTGTTTATAATTCAAAACTGCAGCATAAAATCAGCTTTAGAAAAAATTTCCACCCCTTTTGGCGCCCCTAGGGTCGGCGCCCGGGGCGACCACCCCCCCTCCCCACGCCTCCCCCTAGTTACGCCTCTGCCTCAAAGGTTAAGGGATGAGTGGTTGATTAACATAATACTACAGCACTTGCAAATGAGGATGTCCGCAAAAAAAGCATCATTGTGATTGGTCCTTTCAGAATATTCTAAGCATTGTCAAGAAAAATTACCTTATTTGGTATAGACAAGATCCAATGGCCTAACAAACACAAACATGGAGGGCGTGGTAGTCGAGGGGGGGGGGGGAGAGAAGAGTGCGAGGGAGGCAAAAAATAATAGCTAGAGGACATGACGGAGTGGATTGTAGAAATACCAAAAGTATCAAAAGTCTGAGGCAGACGGTGAAGCACTAAGAAACACCCACACAAAGCCCCCCCCCCCCCCCCCCGAAAAAATTCTACCGCCCCCCCCCCCCCGTACGAAATTAAATTTATATAATGTATATAGAAAATATATACTTTTAACAGCGTCCGCCCCCCCCCCCCCCCCCCAAAGAAAGTCTACCGCCCCCCCCCCCGAAAATTACAAGTGCCCCCCCCCCCCCGGAGAAAAAAGTCTGGAAGAAACACCTTACGTAACTCCAAGGGCTCTGGGATACATAGTACTTTTAACTATACTGCTTAGATGTATAGTTAAAAGTACTATGTATCCCAGAGGGCAGAGCCCTTGGAGTTACGCCTTAGATGCTCGTTTTTGAGAACACCACATGCCAATCGGATGTGTGAGTAGTATATTAGGTCCCTTTTGGAGCGAATTGCGGAAACATGCTATATAGTAAAATACTGCGGAGCTGCGGAGACATGCTATATAATAAAATACTGCGGAGACATGCTATATAGTAAAATACTGCGGAGACATGCTATATAGTAAAATACTGCGGAGACATGCTATATAGTAAAATACTGCGGAGCTGCGGAGACATGCCTTATAGTAAAATACTGCGGAGACATGCTATATAGTAAAATACTGCGGAGCTGCGGAGACATGCTATATAATAAAATACTGCGGAGACATGCTATATAGTAAAATACTGCGGAGACATGCCATATAGTAAAATACTGCGGAGACATGCCATATAGTAAAATACTGCGGAGACATGCCATATAGTAAAATACTGCGGAGACATGCTATATAGTAAAATACTGCGGAGCTGCGGAGACATGCCTTATAGTAAAATACTGCGGAGACATGCTATATAGTAAAATACTGCGGAGACATGCTATATAGTAAAATACTGCGGAGACATGCCATATAGTAAAATACTGCGGAGACATGCTATATAGTAAAATACTGCGGAGACATGCTATATAGTAAAATACTGCGGAGCTGCGGAGACATGCCATATAGTAAAATACTGCGGAGACATGCTATATAGTAAAATACTGCGGAGCTGCGGAGACATGCCATATAGTAAAATACTGCGGAGACATGCTATATAGTAAAATACTGCGGAGACATGCTATATAGTAAAATACTGCGGAGACATGCTATATAGTAAAATACTGCGGAGCTGCGGAGAAATGCTATATAATAAAATACTGCGGAGACATGCCATATTGTAAAATACTGCGGAGACATGCTATATAGTAAAATACTGCGGAGCTGCGGAGACATGCCTTATAGTAAAATACTGCGGAGACATGCCATATAGTAAAATACTGCGGAGACATGCTATATATAGTAAAATACTGCGGAGCTGCGGAGACATGCCTTATAGTAAAATACTGCGGAGACATGCCATATAGTAAAATACTGCGGAGACATGCCATATAGTAAAATACTGCGGAGACATGCCATATAGTAAAATACTGCGGAGACATGCTATGTAGTAAAATACTGCGGAGACATGCTATATATAGTAAAATACTGCGGAGACATGCTATATAGTAAAATACTGCGGAGCTGCGAAGACATGCCTTATAGTAAAATACTGCGGAGACATGCCATATAGTAAAATACTGCGGAGACATGCCATATAGTAAAATACTGCGGAGACATGCTATATAGTAAAATACTGCGGAGACATGCTATATAGTAAAATACTGCGGAGCTGCGGAGACATGCCTTATAGTAAAATACTGCGGAGACATGCTATGTAGTAAAATACTGCGGAGACATGCCATATTGTAAAATACTGCGGAGACATGCTATATAGTAAAATACTGCGGAGCTGCGGAGACATGCCTTATAGTAAAATACTGCGGAGACATGCCATATAGTAAAATACTGCGGAGACATGCTATATATAGTAAAATACTGCGGAGCTGCGGAGACATGCCTTATAGTAAAATACTGCGGAGACATGCCATATAGTAAAATACTGCGGAGACATGCCATATAGTAAAATACTGCGGAGACATGCCATATAGTAAAATACTGCGGAGACATGCTATGTAGTAAAATACTGCGGAGACATGCTATATATAGTAAAATACTGCGGAGACATGCTATATAGTAAAATACTGCGGAGCTGCGGAGACATGCCTTATAGTAAAATACTGCGGAGACATGCCATATAGTAAAATACTGCGGAGACATGCCATATAGTAAAATACTGCGGAGACATGCTATATAGTAAAATACTGCGGAGACATGCTATATAGTAAAATACTGCGGAGCTGCGGAGACATGCCTTATAGTAAAATACTGCGGAGACATGCTATGTAGTAAAATACTGCGGAGACATGCTATATAGTAAAATACTGCGGAGACATGCTATATATAGTAAAATACTGCGGAGACATGCTATATAGTAAAATACTGCGGAGCTGCGGAGACATGCCTTATAGTAAAATACTGCGGAGACATGCCATATAGTAAAATACTGCGGAGACATGCCATATAGTAAAATACTGCGGAGACATGCCATATAGTAAAATACTGCGGAGACATGCTATATAGTAAAATACTCCAGCTGGTGGAGGTCATGACCTCCACCTCCTATTGTCTTCCGTGACGCTCCTTTACAGCCGCTAGGGTGGGGGTGGGGGATGTTGGTAGGGGGTGGGGAGGAGAGACAGGTGGCTCCCGCCTCCCTTTGTGTACCGCGACGCCCAAAGTCGATCGATTAAAAAATAAAAAATTATGTTAAATAGTCGTTGAAAATAATGTATTTAACAGGGCTTGACTTTATTCATTATTTCTCATGTAGTTGATTTATAAATAGCCGTTATTACCAGTCTGTTTTTTTTTTGTCATCTGTTCTTTGCCTAGTCGTGTTAATTAAGTTTAGTGTGATTGCTTTATTTGTTGTGATTGTCTTGGTTTGGCTTCTCTGCTTCGTAGAGTTGTTATATTTTGATTCGATAAAATCTGTTTTAAGGATTTTTTTTTAAATTTTTTTTTTGGTGGTCGGCGTGTTCTTTCTGCCTGAGGAAACAGAATATTGACTTGTCCACTCATTAATGAAGACATTGTATAATTAGCCTCTTTAGAATAATTAGACTATAGTCTGCACTATTGCTGTAAGGTCGTGTTAGGTTAGTTCCTTGCCCATTTCAGGATTATCTTTTTTAAAGTGAAGGTAAAGTTAGACCACTAATCCAAAAGTCTAGAGTTCAAATCCTGTTTCAAGTTAGTAGCCCTGAGTTCACACAGCTCTGATGAGTCCTAATTCCCGTTAGGAAAAGTAAAGGCGGCTGGGTATAGTGCTTACCACACTATCCCTTCATATACCACTTGGTCTAAAGAGGAAACTTTACTTTTTTAAAGAATATTTTTTATTTTTATCTTTTTTTATTTTTTTTATTTTTAATTTTTATTTTTTTTTATTTTTTTATTTTATTTTTTTTGTAATAGTTATACAACAGCCAACAGAACAAATATAATTATTTAATAAAGACATCCTTGTATATCAAATGCTCTCCCTTTAAAAATTATGTAACGACTTTTAAAGTAATGACAAAATGGTGGGTTGACACAATGGTAATCCGATAAAATATTCAAAGCACACTCACGTCTATCTCAGGGCGATCAAACGTTCAAAGGCTACACGAGAGATATTAATTCCGGAATTATTAGGAAATTTAAGATCTGTACCATCCATAAGATCTCTAAGATTTAAAGTGTTTTTGTTCATGAATTGACTAACGATTGCTACTTTAAAACCACTGTCATTCGTCGTACGTATTTCCGTCACTTTATTACTACTCCTGGCCACAAGTAACCAACTGACCACTTGTTGATCAGATGTTGTTTTACATTGTTTTTTATTAACGGTTAAAATAATAATAATAATATACATTTGTTGACCAG